TTGCACTTCCGAAACATTTGCCATCTTCCGAAACTTCCCTGCCAAACTCTAACCGTGTGAAACCATCTTGATTGTTTAAATTATACGGGGGGCAGCGAAGGGTCGGGATAATTCATATCACATATAAAAAAAAATTTTTTTTTTTTTTTTTTTTTTTTAATTTCTCTATGATAAAAACTCACTTTGAGCAAAATAAATACGAAACGAAATCGGAAAGTTTTATTTTTTTTTTTTTTTATATTTTAAGTCCTGTTTCGAAAGTGGAAATTTCATACTAATCGAGTTATTATTATTATTATTATTATTACCTACCGCTTACGAGGCATTACAGCAAAAAAAAAAAAAAAACTTTCGATTTCTCGTTATGAAAAAAAAAAAAAAAAGAAAACTTTCTCGAAGGTTTTTTTTTTTTTTAAAACGAATCGATATTTTTTTTTAAAAAAAAATTTTTTTTTTTTTTGATTAGCAGGGGAGGGGTTTAAATTAGCCAAAATCGAAACACTTTTTTTTTTTTTTTTTTTTTTTTTTTCCCCCCCCCAATTGTTTAGGGGAAAAAAAATTTACAAAAAATTGTAATCGTTAATCAATCATTCGATAATAATAATAATAATTTTTTTTTACGTTTAAAAATAAAACGGTTGACAATTTAATAATTCAATTAACCGGTTTACCAAAATTTGAAAAAAAAAAAAAAAAAAAAAAAAAAAAGTGAAATTACCCAAAAAAAAAAAATTTTTTTTTTTTTTTTAGGTCCCCCCCTCCCTCGCTTCCTCCCCCCTTCCTTCCTTTTAGGTTCAACGTACGCTTTTTAAAACCTTTTTTTTTTTTAAAAAAAAAAAAAAACTTAAAATAATAATAATAATAATAATAATTGTCAAATGTGATATTTCCTGAGCAATAAATTAAAAACAATTGATTGACATTTTTTTTCTATTTCTATTTCTCTATTTCTCTCTCTCTCTCCCTCCCTCTCTCTCTTTCTATATTTCTCTCTTTCTCTCTCTCTCTTGTTTTTTCCAGTTAGCAAAAAAAAAAAAAAAATTCGGTGACCGTAACTGATTTTCTCACATAAAAAGATAATAATAATATACGACACCCAAAATTTTTTTTTTTTTTAAAGTTGATTCACCTTTTTTTTTTTTTGTTTTTTTTTAAAAAAGAAAACACGTTTGTTTATGAATTTTTTTTTTCAAATTGCAAAATGACAATAATAATAATAATAATAATAATAATAATAATAATAATAATAAAATAGAATTAAAAAAATAATTTACTTATTATTATTATTATGTTATATATTTATTTATTTAGTATTAAGTCAACCGTTTTAAAAAGTTCAAAAAATCAAAATTAAAAAAAGGTCTCGAATTATTTAGTCGGGTTAAATTTATGATAAATACACACACAAACACAAGTTAAGATAAATGACATTATTATTATTATTATTATTATTATTATTATTATTTATTAAAATAAATAAATAAATTTTATTTAAAAAAAAAAAAAACGAAAAAAAACGAAAGCGCCAGTTTACGTTTTTAATTCATAAAAAAAAAAAAAAACAAAAATGACGAATTTCGATACTCGATAATTCGATAAATCGATTTCGATCGATTTTTATCGAATTTTCGATTTATTTATTTATCTATTTTAATAATATATATATATTAATTAAATAAAAAATCAAGTTTTCAAATAAATTTTACGAAAGGGAAAACTTGAAAGTAAAAAAAAAAAAAAAAACCGTTAAACGTTTGAATGAAATTTAAATCGAAATTAATATTTAAAATAAATAAATAACGATTTTTTTTTTTTTTTTTTGCGTCCAACAACTTTAATAATAATAATAATAATAATTAATAATAATAAAGGAGGACATTTTAGAAATTTTTTTTCCCCGGAAATATATAAAAATGATTAAAAAAAAAAAGTTTTTTTTTTTACGAATCGACAAGTAATGAAATTTGCAATTAAAAAAAAAAAAAATTAAACTTACCCCATTAATAAGAAGAGAGAGAGAGAGATAAAAAAGGTAACAAATAATAATAATAATAATAATAATTAAATAAAATAAATAAATAAATAAAAATAAAAAAATTCACAATTCTCGTAGGCGGCGAGTGGTGACGAAATATATGAAAAAATGAAAAGTTTTACATGGCATCGCAACCAAACACGGAGCACGAATGGAAAGGAAAACAATTGAAAGTATCAACAAAAAGCGGATTCTTCCTCTGGGGCACCTAATTGGTTGTTGCTTTGAAACCAGAGACTTTTTTTTTTTTTTTTTTTTTCATTTTATTATATTGGTTATTTTTTTTTTTTTTTGATATTTTGCACAACGAGAAAAAGAAAAATTAAGGTACACGAAAAAAAAAAAAAAAAAAACCTTAAAGCATGTTAAATTTTTTTTAAATAAATAAATAAACGGTTTATATCAGTGGGAGAGAGAGAAAGAGATGAATTATTTATAATAATTATATACTTATTTAACGTTTTAATTTTATTATCGATCGATTTATCGATCGATATATCGAAAAAATTTCAATATATCGATTGTATATCTTCGATATTTTACTTCTTCTTCTTCTTAAAAAAAAAAAAAAAAAAGAAGCTACCGTTAAAATATTAATGATAATTTTTTTTTTAAAAAAAATGACGTGGAAATTTTTACCGTTAATCCCGTCAAAATTATAGTATAGACCTCTCTCTCTCTCTTTCTCTCTCTCTCTCTGTTATTTTCTTGTTAATAATAATAATAATAATAAGAAAGAAAGAAAGAATGAAAAAAAAAAAAAAAAAAAAACAGCATTTGCTAAATAAAAATGAATTTACAGTTATTGTGTGTATATAATTTTATCGATAAAAAAAAAAATACTAACTAACCGGAAATTAGTTGTTTGAAAGACTAAATTTTTCCCCCCCCCTCCCCCCATTTAAAAAAAAAAAAAAAAAAAATTGATAGGATTTTTTTTTTTTAAATTTAAAAAGTTTTTAGATATAAAAAAAAATACTTAACTGTTTATATATATATATAGAATTGTAAAAATTATTTTTAAGTGATTATTATTATTATTATTAAAAAAGAAATAAAATGTATCAAATGATTGATAAATCACGAATTGACCATCACCGCCCCTGCCTCGCCACCTCCCCCCCCCTCATAATAATTCGTTACCGTTTCCATTAAGAAAATGAGATAAAAAGTGAATCAGTAAGAATATGTGTGTGTGTGTGAGTGTGTATGTGTGTATATATGTATAATAATAATAATAATAATAATAATAATAATAATAATAATAATAATAATAAATTTAGAAGGAATTTCCGGGGTCAATAGCATTTAAAAATAAAAAATAAAAAAAAAATACAGTTACCGAATCATCTTGATCAGGGTCAGGTCCGAACACACAGAGTCTGATCAATAGGTTGACCCAATCGCAGTTTATTTAATTTGCAGGATTACAACATTTGAACCTTGATACTTTTCTATGAATAATTCTGTAAGGAAGAAAAAAAAAATATATATAAATATATAAATTTTTGATAAGAATAATCACAAATTAATAAATTTCGTTTAACCCTTTTGTTTTGCCTGGCCTATGTCAGTTTATGGAAGCCATTTTTTTTTTTTTTTTTTTTTTTGGCTTTTATATGTAATTAAAAAAAAAAATTGCATCATTTTAGTTATTTTTAATATGAAATTAATTATTGATTGTAATGGTATATATTAATAAATCTTTTGATTAATTATTATTATTATTTAAAAAAAACCAAATCTTTTCAACTGTTTTGTTTGAATTGAAATAAATTCATTGTATGTATTTCCAAAGTTAGTATTATATGTATGAATAACTTTAAATTATATTTTTATTTTATTTTACATAAAAATATGTTTTCTTTTCTTTCTTTTTTTTATAGAATGATATGTGGTAAATTCATTAAAATTATATTTACCTGTGTGAAAAGTTGTTTTTTCTTTTTTTTTTTTACATAACAGTTATGTTCATAGACTTTCTATTAACTACTACTAAAATCAATTTGATATTATTAAAATATTATTTTCTAATACGTAATATACCAATACAAATTTTTAGAAATTTTGAAAGTAAATTAAATAATTTGCAGAACATTAATTGACTGTGTTATTGAACATTTTTTTAATTTAATTTTTTTTTTTCATCAAGGTATATTAAGAATGAATTCACTTGAGAAAATTTCTTAATTACATAAATTTTATGACAAGATATGACCTTTCCTGATTTTTATTTTATCATAACGAATAACTTTTACACTTTTAACAATATTTAACATGTTACAATGATAATTTTTTAAATATAATTTAAGTTTAACTTATTTTAAAAAATTTAATAATTAAAAATAACGGATAAACTGCACCAAGTGTTTGGAGGGAAAATTATCTTAAAGTGTTTTATTACACGTTTTGCGTAATTTCGACAAAGCTTTAAACTTACGACAAAAGTTTGGGATTACAACAGTTGATTTGTCATCTGTAACCAATACTTGGGGTATGAATATTAATTATTTATCATTTTAATAGTTTTTATGTAATTGTCTGTATATAATTTTTACAATTATTTTAAATTATATTATAGTAAAAAATTTTCTAAAATTTTTTTTTTATTTAAAATATTTTTTTCATATTTGTATTAAAATTAGGACAATACCATAATGTAATTTATTATTTTTTGAACTTTGAAATGTATATATTTTTAGATATTTAATTATTAAATATAATTATTGTATTATTTTTTAAATAAATTATAATTTTAATTTAAAAAAAAAAAGTATTTCAAAATTTTTTGTAACCTATTTAAGGTACGATTCATTAAAAAAAAAAATAAATTATTTTAAAATAACATTTGAAAGTATTCAAAAATTCAGACTTACAATTTTAATACTTTGGTTTTAGATATTTTTGTATAGGCAAATTTTTATTTTGGTTCTTTAAAATCATTTAAATTTTTTGTTTTCAGAAAATGGCCAAAGTTTATAAATCAATTTGTAATGAAATAGATTTAACACTTTTAAATATCGCTCATATTATAGAAAAAATAATTAGGTACAAAGTGGAAATAGAAACGCTAATGAATAAAGGTTTTGTAAGCATTGCCAAAGCCAGATATATAATGGGAAGTACGTGTGTAACTAAAATGCAATTACCCTCGGAAAAATCAAATCCGATTCAACCGTTAGCTACAGTTTGCAGAGCTCAAAGAAACAATCATTGGGTTTTTCACATTCACAGAAAAGATGTTCCTAAGCCATCTTCATCAAATGATGAAAAAATTGATAATTTAGAAACAGATGAGGTTTCTAAAGAAAGTTTTGTGACAAATTATCATTCTGAATCTCAATTCAAAAATGTACTACAAAATGATCCAAAGAGTTTAAAAAAATCAAAATTTGCATATCATGTTGATGATAATAAATATCAAGAATGTAATAATGAGTTTCTAGATGAATTTTCAAATCATTCTGGTTCAAATGAAAGCTTACACAGTTTAGATGAACCTCTTAGATTATTCGGAGTGTTGGTTCCAAATACACTAAAACATGGTCAGGAAACATTTAAAGAAGTTGTCGGTTGTTTGGGAAAGTGTGCTACTTTACAATCTCAGCTAATAGAATCCCTTTCTAAATATGGTCATTTAATGCAAGTAAAAGGATTAATGGAAATGGCTGCTGTTAAAGGCAATATTAACATATCCCAACCCAAAGTTTATTGGACTATTGATGATGTTACAAGCACTTCAGGATATTCTGATGAAATCGGAGAGGAGAGAGAAGTAAATGAAGAAGCTGAAGAAGAAGAAGAGGAGGAAGAAGAAGAAGAAGAAGAAGAAAATGAAAAAGAAGAAGTAAAAAAAGAAGAACAAAAAGAAATGAAAAAAGAAGAAGTAAAAGAAGTAAAAAAAGAAGAAGTAAAAGAAAAAGAAGCAGATACTGTTAATGTTACCAAGAGTGTAAGGTCTGTGTTTTATAATTTAAATGAATTAGAAAATGAGAAATCAGAATGGGAAAGTAAGAGTGCTTCAAGTGAAGATTCAAATTTAATAGAATTTAAAAAGGAAGACTGATTTAAAAATTTTTTTTTAAACATATATATACATATTCTATATTATTTCGGTGATTGTGTGTTATAAATTTTGATCAAATTATAATTTATTTATTTTTTTCAATTTAAAAAGGTTATGGATACTTTTAAGAAAAAATTACAAGTTATTATTTATTTTGAGTTGTTATATATATATATATATATTAATATTTCAAATTATTTAATTTTTTACATTAAATTATTTATGAATTATATTTTTTTTTTTTTTCGATAAAAATAAAAGTAATAAATTGTTGCGAAATTTATTTTTATTTGTTTCATATTTTTCCTACTTTTTGCATAAATTTTTTAAAATAACTGTAGAAATATTTATGTGAATAAAAAATCCTAAAAGTCTGTATGAAGATAAAAAAAAAAAAAATAAACTAACTAAAGAAAATACTCTGGGAAAATAACTTGAAATATAATCATAATATTAAAAGTATCTTTAAAATTGAAACTTTCACATTCCATGATAATTAGTTTTAAATTATTCTTTTAAAACAAATAAAAAATAAATACAAGAATTATTAAAGTGATTTGTTTATAAAAGCAAATATAACGTATTTCAAATAACTAACCTTTAGTTACATTAAATAGAATTCGACGATAATTTTACAAAGTTGCGACAAAGTTCCCGAATGACAGGTTCAGATTTATGCCAAACCTTTAGCCAAGGTTTTTTAGTGCAATTAATGTTAATCAATGACTGATATTTTTATTATTAAATTGCCCTGTTAACAGGTAATTAATTATTATTTATTAATATTTTTTTATATTTAGTTTTTTTCATAAAAAATATAGATTTATATATTGTTAATTTTAAAAAATTAATATAATTTTCCCCCAAGTTATTAATGAATTTCGAAAAAAAATTATTATATTTTAAATCTGAATTTATTGCACCTGTTAATTGAATTATTTAAACTTTACACATATTAATATTTTTACGAATTGTTAATAGTTTAGGCTGTAAGTAATTTGTTACGCATTTACAGATGTAATGGATTCAAAACCAAATAATGGAAATGGTAGTACGGGAGATACAAACAATTCGAAAGATGCTAGTTCAGATTCTTTAGTTTCTGATTCCAAATCTAGTTCTCTAAATTCGAAACTTGGTCAGGAACATGTAAGTTTAATAGAATTCTAATATTTTTTTTTTTTTATTTTTACTAAAATGTCATTCTCTAAATTTTTTTTTTTTGCTTTAAAATAGCCTATTTTTTAAAATTACATATTTGATATTTTTTTTTGTTGAATTAATTTTTTTTTTTTTTTTTTATGTAAAACTTATTTTAATTTATAAAAAAAGTATAAATTATATCTTTATGTAGATTATTTTAATAATTATTATTAGTAAATAGAATACATTTTGTGTAAGAATAAATTACAAAACGACTTGTATGGTGTCAAGTTTTTTTTTTTTATTATCTCTTTTAAAAATAAATGCATAATTATTTATCTAAGCTGCTTTTTATTATGAACTATAGCTTTTAAAACTTTACTTAATAACATATAAAGCTTACAAATTAAGTAATTTTATGTAATTTTTATTATTTTAATAAATATCAATACTTAATATGTAAGCGTGCACATGTATTGACCCATTCGATTTATAAAAATAAAAAATTAATTACTTTTATTATATATTTATAAATGTTAATACAAAAGAATCATGTTTTTTATTAAGTAAAGTTTCATGTCATGGCTTTGTCTAGGGTGGTAATAGTTGGGGTAAATCCCCATCTGGCTCAAGTTCAACTTCCGCAGAAAATATTGGGTCAGCATTTGAAAATTTACTTAACTATAAGCCAAAGGTAAGGCTTTAAATTAAATTGAAATTTTTTTTTCCAAACTTATGTATTTTTACTTTATATTTAAAATAATGTTTTTTCATAATTTTAAAATTTATTATTGAAAAATTATTATTAAAAGTATTATAATAATGTAAATAACGGAAAAAAAAAGAAAAATGAATTAATTATTTTATCATTATTAAAAATAATTAACTGATTTCTTTTTAAGGGAAAAATAGAGGCTATTCATCATGTTCGAGGAGATGATCCACCCTTACTTCCTGGAGAATCTGTCAAAGGAACAGCTAAAGAAGTAGCATATATATGTCCTTATTTGGGTCCCATCAGGGGTGTATTATGCGTTACAAATTACAAATTATATTTTAAAAGTAGTGACAGAGATGCTCCATACATTTTAGATGTGCCTTTAGGAGTTGTGAGTATTAATTTAATTTCAGGTTAACTGAAAACTAATATATTATTAACAATAAAACTTTTTTTTTTTTTTGTTTCAGGTTAGTAGAATTGAAAAAGTTGGGGGGGCTACAAGTCGAGGTGAAAATTCTTATGGCATCGATGTATTTTGTAAGGATATGAGAAATATTAGATTTGCTCATAAACAAGTGAGGAGAAATTTATTTGTAATTTATTGCTCAATAATATGTAATCCCATAATTATTTATTTATGTATTTATTTTTCTTAGGAAAACCATTCGAGAAGAGATGTTTTTGAAAAATTGCAACAGTTTGCCTTTCCACTATCTCACAAAAAACCAATATTTGCTTTTAGTTATACAGAAACGTTTAATGAAAATGGTTGGAACATATACGAGCCCATTGGAGAATTAAAAAGAATGGTATATATATATCATTAGAAAGTAAAAATAATTTGAAAAAAAATTTTTTAAATGTACATATTTAAAATAACAGGGTGTGCAATATCCTAACGACATGTGGAGAATAACAAAAATTAATGAAAATTACGAAATTTGCGATAGTTATCCATCGATAATTGCTGTCCCTGCACAAGCCACAGATGAAGAGCTAAGAGCTGTGTCTGCATTTAGGAGCCGTGGAAGATTGCCTGTTCTTTCTTGGATTCACCCAGAGTCACAAGTAAATATACCTTTTTTTTTACTTATTGTTAAATTCGTATCCTTATTAATGTGAAATTTTTTTAATTAAAGGTAACAATCACGAGATGCTCTCAACCTCTCGTGGGAGTTAGTAATAAAAGGTGCAAAGAAGATGAACATTATATTCAATTAATAACGGATGCCAATGCTCAATCACCAAAATTATATATAATGGACGCTAGACCGAGGTAAAACAAAAACAAAAACAAAAAAAAAAATTATCATCAAAGAAATTTTTCTAATTTTAATTTGTAATTTTAGTTCTAATGCCATTGCAAACATTGCCAAAGGTGGTGGATATGAATCTGAAGACGCTTATAAAAATGCCGAATTGATATTTTTGGATATTAGTAACATTCACGTCATGAGAGAATCATTGAGAAAATTAAAAGGTCGGTCGGTCGGTCGTTGTTTAAGCGAATCATTATTATTATTATTATTTTTTGAAAATAAGATTGTAAATATTTATAAATATATATATAACGTAATTTTGAAACATTTTAGAATTATGTTTTCCAATGATAGACGTGTCGAGATGGTTATCAGGTATCGAATCGACATGTTGGTTAAAACACATAAAAACGATACTTTCGGGAGCTATAAGAATTGTTGATAAGGTGGAAAGTCACAATTCTTCCGTTTTGGTTCACTGTTCCGACGGTTGGGATAGAACGTCGCAATTGACGGCTTTGGCAATGCTAATGTTGGATCCATTTTACAGAACGATAAAAGGTTTCGAAATACTAATAGAAAAAGAATGGCTTAGTTTCGGACATAAATTCGAACAGGTAAATCGGTAAAGTTTTTCGGACGATGATTTTATTCTCACCTGATTTTATTTAAATTCCCGGTTTTTTGCTGTTTTCGACAGCGGATCGGCCACGGTGACGAACATCATTCCGATTCAGATCGATCTCCAGTATTTTTGCAATTTATCGACAGCGTTTGGCAAATAACTCAACAATTTCCATGCGCGTTCGAATTTAACGAACATTTTTTAATTTGCATATTAGATCATTTGTATTCATGTAGATTTGGAACGTTTTTGTGTAACAGGCAAGTATAACAACAAACTTTTTGTTTTTACAATATCACACACGGACATTAAACGTAAAAATTTTTCTGTTTTTTTTTTTTAGCGAACGCGAAAGAGCGTCTCTTAACGTAAAACAAAAAACGGTTTCTTTATGGTCTTACATAAATAGTAACATTGACATACATAAAAATCCTCTCTATTGGGCATCATCTCAAAATCAAATAATTCTTATACCAAATGCAAGCATGAGACATTTAAAATTATGGAAATCATATTACTGTCGTTGGAATCCGAGCATGCGAACTCAGGTAAGGTTGATCAAAAAAAAAAAAAAATTGATTTTAAGGTTTTCATACCAAATTTATATATTATACGATTTTTTTTTTTTTTTTTTCAGGATCCGATTCATCGTAGAACAAGAGAATTAATTTTATTAAAAGAACAATTAGAAAAACAAATACAAGACTGTAGACAAGAGCAGCAAATGAGAGCATCGAAAAACATGAGCACACCATCAAGACTTTCAACATTACATTAAGTTTTATTAATATAAATATATATATATAAATAAAAACATTCTTCTGTGCATATTCTGTATATATAAAGACACGTGTACATACACACACACACTCACACACACGCGCGCGCGCACGTGCGCGGGTATATTTATATATAAAAATATTTTTTTTTTTTTTTTTTTTTCATAAACAAAAAAGGTACGATTTCCTTTTAATTTTTTCTCATTATGTATTTTATTTTATGTAAAAAAAAAAAGGAAAAGAAAAGAAAAAAGAAAAAAGTTACGAGAAATGAAAATCCGTGACGTTGTTGTTTTCTTTTTTTTTTTTTTTTTTGCAATTCTGATATTATTAACAACAATATTTATTTATAAAAAAAATTAATTATATTTACTGGCAAATTTTTTTTTTGTTAATATAAAATAAAATTTTTTTTTTTAATTTAAATGTTTTTATTATTATTATTATTATTATTATTATTATTATTATTATTATTAATATTATTAATCAAATGATTTAATGTGATTTTGAAATTTATAAATGCAAATTTTAAAAAAGAAAGAAAAATTTGTTTATGATATGGGATAATACGATTGATAGAGTTAGTAAGGAGTGCAGTTGTGCGCGTGAATTGGAGAGGGGAAAAAAGCAGAAGAAAAGGAGAAGGAGAAGGAAGAATGACGTATTAATCTCTAATTGAGTTTAGTTTAAAATAAATTAAAGTTGTGAGTTTGAAATATATGCGGATGGATGGATGGATGGATGGATGGATGATTGGACTTTGTATCTCACAATTTTTTATTTAAGCTTTGTTTAGTTATATTCGTGTTATTTTTTATGGAATTTTATAATAATAATAATAATAATAATTTTTTATTTAAACTGATAAAATTTCTTTTTATAAAATAACGGTTCGAATTTATTATTATTATTATTTTTAAAAAAAAATTCTTATCAAATTTAAGTAGTGTGTGAATGAATCGTTAGTAGCAGTTTTTTTTTTTTTTTGCCTAAGAAAATAAAAAAAAAAAGTGATTTGAAAAAAAAAAAAATTATTTAATATTATTATCTATGAGTTATGCGGTTGTTTCGGACGAAGAGTTCATAGGTTAACTTAACAATGTTTTTTTTTCTAATTTCTAATTTTTATTATTATTATTATTGTGACAGAAAAATTTATTTTTATTAAAAAAATTTTAAGTGTTTTTTTTTTTTTTTTTTAAATTTCTACGATTAATTTTTTTCTTTTGTTTTTTGTGAATGAAAATTTTTTTAATTATTAATGTTTTATATTATTATTATTACTATTATTTATTTATTTATTTATTTATTTGTTAACGAAATTTTAATAATAATAATAATAATAATAACAAATATTATAAATTTTAGAAAAAAAAAATAATTTAAAAAAAAAATATTTATATGTAAATTGTTTATTATTATTTGTTAATTATTATTATTATTATTATTTTAAATAATTTATTTTAATAAGTTAATAATAATATTCATGCGTATTGAGATGATGATGATAATAATAATTTATTTATTTTTAAAAAGAGTAAAACGAAAAAAAAATTTATTATTATTTCAATTAAATGAAACCTTTAAGTTTAAAAAAAAAAAAAATTTTTTTTCTTTTTTTTTATTTGTACGGCTTTAATTAATTAATTATTATTATTATTATTATTATTTTAGATTTTGATTCATTGATTGATTGATTGATTGATTGATGTCGTTAGTCGCATTTTTCTTTTTTTGTAAAATTACAGTATCGGAATGTGAGAGAAACTTTTTAAATAAATAATAATAATAATTGGATTGGAGATCAGAAATGTTGAGTTTATCACAAAAAAATGTAATTATTATTATTATTATTATTATTATTAATATTAGTTTATTGATTTTTAAATCGATTAATTAATAATTAATTAATAAAATAAATGTTTTATGGAAAACATGATGCTTAAAAAAAGAAATTAATAAATTTTATTAAAAAATTAACCGGTAAAAAAAATTGTTTGTTTGTTTGTTTGTTTGTTGTTGTTGTTGTTATTGGAAATAATTGTATACATATTTGAAATTAATTTAGTTCACCGGGGTCAAAGTTCAAAAAATTATTGATTTATTTTGACACGGTTGATGAAAATTCTACTTTTAAAATAGACCATTAAAGTTTTTTTGTTGTTGTTATTTCAGATGAGTTTCTCCGCGTTGGAAAAATTTATAAGAACATTAAAGAAAAGGTTTAATCATACCAAGGTATTGTCCAAGGCTTTGCCACAACCTTTACCTGAAAATGCAGACGTCGTTATTATCGGTACGTATGATGATTGTGTTAGTAACCCCCTCCCTCTCTCTCTAATCCTCTTTTTTTTTTTTTTAGGGGGCGGAGTTTTAGGATGTAACACCCTATATCATTTGGCCAAACGTGGGGTTCAAGCTATTTTGTTGGAACAGGATAAAATAACTTCAGGTACGACGTGGCACACAGGTGGTCTTTTATGGACTTTAAGACCGGACGATATTCAAATACAACTTCATCAATCAACAAGAAATCTCATAATATCATTAAAAGAAGAAACTGGAATCGATCCAGGTTGGATAAATAATGGCGGACTTTATGTGGCTCACTCTCAAGTTAGTAATGCAATATCGAAAAATGTCTTTTAGCCAGTTTTGGTATAATAATTTTTTAATCATGTCTTCAGGAAAGGTTGGATGAGTATAGGAGACTTGCTACTATCGGAAGAAGTTTTCAAATTGATGCAAGGATTGTTGATCCCGCTGAAGCCCACGCAATTTTTCCACTTTTGAATCCCGAAGTTATCGTTGGAGGTCTTTACAATCCTATGGACGGTTGCATCGACCCTACAAGTTTTGTAAACGCCCTAATACGATCTGCGAAAAAAAACGGTGGAAAAGTAAGGGGGATGAATAGGGTTATTTTTATTACGGTACTTAGTGGTACACACACGTGTTATAATATCACAATATTTTAGATATTTGAAAAATGTCCAGTAACTGGAATAAAAGTTGGAAGAAATCAATATGGAGTAAAACAAATTGTCGGAATTAAAACTCCTTATGGAGAAATCAACACGAATGTTGTGGTTAATTGCGCAGGTGATTGACAAAAAAAAAAAACACGTGGACACACGTGCATCGTATAGATTTTAAATATGTAATCAGGTTTATAACTTTCAGGGGTTTGGGGGAATAAAATAGCAGAAATGGTGGGTCTCAGACTTCCTCTGACGTCTATGAAACATGCTTACGTGATATCAGAATCCATTCCAAAAGCTAAAAATTTACCAAACGTTCGAGATCATGACGGTTCCGTTTATTTTCGAGTTCAAGGAGAATCATTACTCATGGGTGGATACGAAAGGAATCCGACGATATTAGAAGAAATCCCGAAGGATTTTTCATTTCAATTATTTGATTTCGACTGGACGCATTTTCCACATTTAGCAAATGCGGTTAATCTCGTACCCGAATTCGAAACTGTCGGTATAAAAGCAACCGTTTGCGGTCCGGAAAGTTTCACTCCGGATCACCGACCACTTTTAGGTGAAGATCCCAGGTTGAAAGGATTATTTCATGGTTGCGCATTTAATTCATTGGGAATGATGATGGGTGGTGGATGCGGTGAACAATTAGCCTTGTGGATAATGAACGGTCGGCCAGATTTACACATGTACAGTTTTGACATACGTAGATTTACTCTCGATCAAATGAAAAGTCCAGACTGGGTCAAAGAAAGGAGTCACGAAAGTTATGCGACCACTTATAACATAGTATTTCCAAATAGTCAGTTTTTAGCCGGTAGAAATTTTCAAACGGATCCTTTTCACGAAGTAAAATGTGGTGGTGACTGTAAAAAAAAAATTAACACGACGGATATTGTGAGAAAATTTTTTGTCTTTTAGGAACTCCTAGAAGCGAATTGTGTTTTTGAAGAAATACAAGGTTGGGAAAGGCCCGGATGGTTTGCTAAAACAGGTCCTAATCCTGTACCCAAATACGATTGGGGTGGATCCTACGGACACATACGAAACGTCGAATCCTCTTATGAAAAATTATTAAAACAAGATTACACGTTTGATTTTCCCATTCATCATAATATTGTAAGGAAAATAAATATTATTATTATTATTATTATTATTATTAAAGATTTAGAAAAAGAGGAAAAACTTTTTCAGATAGGAGATGAATGTAGGGCCTGTCGAACTGGAGTCGTACTTTTCGATCGTTCTTACTTGGGAAAATTTTACCTGTCTGGACCCGATGCACAAGCAGCTGCCGATTGGCTTTTTACCGCGGATACTCGTACACCTGTCGGGGAAATAGTTTACACGTGTCTTTTAAACGGAAAAGGTAACGTGGAAGCAGATGTTTTAGTTACCGCCGTTGAAACTGGATCCAGCGGTTTGATAGATCCCATATTGAAAGGAAGAGGATTTTATATAATAGCCGGTGGAGCGGTTGCTTCACAAACTCAGGCTCACATAAGGCACGTCATTCAACAAAAAGGTTTCAAAGTTAACGTGGATGACGTTACAACGAGCGTCGGAGTTTTATCCGTTCAAGGACCTAAAAGGTCATTTATCATCATTATGTTTTAAAAAAGAGAGGAAAACGTACTGAATTGATTTTGTGTATCAATTTGAAATTTACAGTCGAGCCGTTCTTAAAGATCTCGTCGATTGCGATCTCAGTGAAGAATCATTTCCGTTCATGACATCACGTTTGGCCAAAGTGGGAGGAGACGCAAATTGTAGGATAATGAGAATGACGTTCGTCGGTGAATTAGGTTACGAATTACAAATCCCGTGGAACCTTTGTCAACACGTTTTTAAAAAAATATTAAAAAAAGGAAAAGAATATAATTTAAGGCACGCCGGATATAGAGCATTGTATTCATTGAGTTCGGAAAAAGGTTTCTCCTTCTTCTTTTTCTTTCCTTTCCCATCCTTTCCTTTTTCGCAACCGAAATTAATTCGATAAAATTTTTCTTTGTTTTCTTTAGGATTAAGATTATGGCATAGCGATCTCAGAAATGATGATAATCCATTAGAAGCCAGTTTAGATTATACGTGTAGATTAGAGGGTGATTATTTAGGAAAAGAAGCCATTGGAAGAGTTAAATTTAACGGAGTTAGAAAAAAATTAGCTTATTTTCACATTGACGAGTAAGTTATTATTATTATTATTGTTAATTTTTACTAGTGATGATAATAATAATAAAATAAGGAATAATTAATGTAAACTCTAATAACTGTTCGTACAGAAAAGTTCCAGTTTGGGGTTTGGAAACAATATGGCGGAATAACGAAGTCGTTGGTTATTTGAGAAGAGGAGATTTCGGTTTCACTTTCGATAAATCGATAGGAATAGGGTAAAACTCGAACACATTTAAAATGGATATGAAGGGTTATAAAAAAAAAAAGGGAAAATTTTTATAAATTTCAGGTACATTTCTCATCCGAGCGGACAAGAAGTATCGGAAGATTTTCTCAAATCTGGAAAATACGAAATCGAAGTTATGGGGATTCGATATTCGGCTGAAATGTATTTACAAAGTCCTTTCGATCCCGAAGGAAAAAGATTACACGGAATTTATGATTGATTGATTGATTGATTGATTCGAAAAAAATTTTTTTTTTCCCGCGTTTTTTTTTTTTTTCTTTTCCTGTTGTGCGTCTGTTCCTAATTTGATTATTTTAAATTCATTCCCGTTCTAACTTGTTACCGATAATTAAATTTTTTTTATTTAAAATTACGATCATTTTTTTTTTTTTTTATCACTCACCGAAGTCTCCTTCCACGATATCTGCTGACACGTTCGAATCCTCTCTCTCAGTTTCCTCCACAAACGGTCGCAAATGTTAATTCGCGAGTGGATTTGCATGTATTGTGACGTCATTTATTTTAGTGTCCGTCAAAGGCCTGAAATTTTTAGGATTTACGACTAACTTTTCCAATTCGTCCAATGAATCGAATCCGTCAATGACTTTTCCAAAAATCGTATATTTCAAATCCAAATGAGGTTGTGGTCCGTAGGTTATGAAAAATTGACTTCCGTTCGAATTGGGACCGTTATTCGCCATTGAAACGATTCCCCTAACGGTGTGCTGAAAACGATCGCAAAAGAACAAACGGAAACGGAAATTAATATTCATTAATTTAAACCAGAACAAAAAAAAAAAAAAAAAAAATGGAAAATGCGTCAACGACATTAAATTCCTTTTTTTCTTTTTTTTTTTTCATTCTTTCGTTAATCGCATTTGATTGCGACATTGATAAGAGTGATTACATTTATACGTTGATAATGATTACATTTAAGTATTTTTCAAATAATAATAATAATAATAATAATAATAGTAGTAATAATAATAATAATAATCGTTTACAACAGAGTGTTACGTGTTTTTAGAAATTAAATTATTTTATCGATCGATTAGAAAAATCAATTTTTTTTTTTTTTTTTTTTTTTTTTTTCTTTTTGACCCTCGAAAAACTTTTGCCTCTTTCAATGACACACGGAAAAAATAAATAAAAATAACAAAAAATCAATAATCGATAATGATTGATTGATCGAAATAAAAAAAATTTTTTTTTAAAGGAAACAAAAAAGAGAGAAAAAATATTTTTATCCAATTGAATTCGAAGGGAAATAGGGAAAAAAATGAAAATGAGAGTGAAAGAGAGAGAGAGAGAGAGAATGACAATGACAATAAGAAGGGGAGAGAGAGAGACAGACAGAGAGAACGAGAATGAGAGAGACTAAAAATGAGAATAAGAAAAAAAAAGAGAAAAAGAGAATGAAAAATGAGAGAATGAGAGAGAGAGAGAGAGAGAGAGAGAGAGAGAGAGAGAGAGAGAGAGAGAGAGAGAGAGAGAGAGAGAGAGAGTGAAAATGAGAGAAGGTGTAAATGAGAGTGAAAGAAAGAGAGAGAGAGAGAGAGAGAGAGAGAAGAGAGAACTAGAGAATGAGAATGAAAATGAGAGAGAGAGAGAGAGAGAGAGAGAGAGAGAAGAGAGAACTAGAGAATGAGAATGAAAATGAGAGAGAGAGAGAGAGAGAGAGAGAGAGAGAGAGAGAGAGAATGAAAGAGAATGGGAGAGGCTAAGAATGAGTGAGAGAGAGAGAGAGAGAGAATATAAATAAATACAAACCTTGTATTCTTCTTTGAATTCATCTTCGAATTTTCTACCATAAATTGACGAACCTCCTTTTCCGGTTTGAGTTGGATCCCCAGTTTGAACAATGAAACCTTTTATGTTTCTATGAAATGTGCAACCTTTGTAATAATCGCTCGCGCAAAGTGCCAAAAAGTTCTGGAAAAAAAAGAAGAAAAAAAAAAAAAATTAATAATGATTTTAATATTATTATTATTATCATTAACATTATTAAAAATAAAAATAAAATTGCATAATATTACTCAATCACATTATAATAAATTTAATAATAAAAAGAAAAACAGACACTCATGGGAAATTTCCAGGTTTTTATTATTATTATTATTATTATTAAAAACCTGGAAATTTATTATTAAATATTATCATTATTATTATTATTATTGCTAAATTCTCTCGTTACGTAATGCGTTAAATGAAATTAAAGTTTTAAAAAAATTAAAACCTTGAATTCGTTTTGTTTTTGTTTTTTTTTTTTTTATAATTCCCCCCATCTGATAATAAATAAAAGGGGGGGGGCACTCTCAGGCACCTTTCTTTCCTTGCAATAATAATTAGGCACGAAGAATTTTATTTACAAAAAAAAAAAAAAAAAAGTGAAATTATTAAAACGTGATTATTAAAAAATTCTTATTGAATTTATCATACTCGAGCTCACGTCGTAGTACGCCATTTTTTTTTTTTTTACGTTAGCAAAAAAAATAAAGAATTGTAAAAGCCTATTTTCTTTACTCTTTCTATCTCTTTTCCTCTCTCTCGCTATTTTAAACCTACATTCGTTTTTCTTTTTTCTTTTCCAAACAAGTTCACGACCCTGACTTTAAAATTTATGCAATTTACCAAAAATTAAAATGACTTACTTCGCATGTTTTTGGACATCCTTCGCAAAATAATTCAATTTTAATATCGCCCACATCCGTATGGAGAGTGACCGACTGGAAAAACAAAAAAAAAAGGAAAAAAATATTATTAATAATAATAATGATAATGAAACGAATGATCATATTATTAAATCCGGTTATTTTACTTCATGAGAACAAGTTTTCCCAATGGGTAAATAATTCAAGGTCAATATGTACCAGGCACAAGGAAATTAATACAGGTACCAATTTGACCGTGGATGGATGAATGAATAATCTTATGTAAAACTTCCTCAACTTACATTTATTCCATTAAAAAAATGAATCACATTCGATATTCACAGTTGTTTCAAGGTACTTTTCCCCCCCCCATTCGATAAACCATCTCCATACAGCTCCTGTTTCCATTTAAAATTTGAATTTACATCATTTTCGATTATGAATACCAAAACACACACACACACACAAAAATCAAAATGGTAATTTTATTTAAATTTATACAGAATCAATTATTAATTGTTCATTATATATACATAATTCGATTAATAATTTATTAATATATTTATTTTGTAATCAAGGGGGTTAATTTTAACAAAAAAAAAAGGTTAAAAATGATTCCATGATGATAAATCAACATGATTTATCGATATTTTGTCGATTTGAAACTTTTAACATGGAAATAATATAAATGATGATGATGATGATGATTAAAATAAAATACACTTAAAACAATTTTTGCAAAAAAAAAATTCTTTTTTTTATTAAAATTAAAATTAAAATAAATTGAAAAAAATTATATTGGGAAAAAAATTTTAATAAAACATGATATTTTAGTTTTTTTTTTTTTTTTTTTATTGTTTAAGAAAAAGGAAAATAATTATTATTAATACTTTTTTTTTTTTTTTTTTTTTTCACGACGTCAAGCCATATTTTTTCATCTAACAATGCTTGAATAAAACATAATAATGGCTTGAATTAAATATTAAGAAAAAAAAATTTTATGATATTTAATCCACTTGTTTGAAATAATCGAGAGACTCTTTTGGACTTGGTTTCATAGTTTTTGAACCTGGCTTCCAATTAGCTGGACAAACTTCACCATGTTTGTCTGTATATTTGAATGCTTGAACAAGTCGCAACGTTTCATCAACTGACCGTCCGACAGGTAAATCATTCACAGTTATTTGACGAAGTATTTGATTTTCATCGATAATGAACAATCCTCTGTATGGAACTCCAGTTTCTTCATTTAAAACTCCATAAGCCTTGGCAATGCTAAACGATTTGTCGGCCAATAATGGAATTTGTAAGTCTCCCACACCACCCTCTTTACGAGGTACGTTGGTCCAAGCCAAATGTGAAAAATGGCTGTCGCAAGAAGCGGCAACAACTTCGCAACCGATGCTTTTAAATTCGTTAACACGATCGGAAAATGCAATTATTTCGGTAGGGCACACAAATGTAAAATCCAACGGATAAAAGAATAAAACAAGATACTTTCCTCGATATTGATCCAAAGAAATGTCCTTGAATTGCTTGTTAATAACAGCAATTCCTTTAAATTCAGGAGCTTTTTTTTGAAGTTCTGGCAAAGGCATTTTTAAAATATAAGTAAATTTACTTAAAAAAAAAATTAATAACGTTTAAAATTAATTTTTAAATAACCGACACGTCGTACACCACTGACAGACCAGGAAAGAACGAACACACACAGAAATGGCAGCGTTTAACCGAAGAAATTGAGGTCTTTTCAAATCGCAACAAGTTACACGACGTTTACGATTAAGGCAAACAATTTAAATAAATTAGAATTTATTAGACTAACGATAAATAATAATGAATAACTTACCATTTTTATTGAATTTGCAGCAATAAATTACTTTAACTAAATCAATAAAAACATTATATTCGCGAGTTATATAAAACAAAATTGTTTATTAAATATATATATCGTGGCATTAGACTTTTTGTATTTTCGCGACAAAAAAATGATAAGATTTACAATATGGAAATATTTTCAGTCAAACATAAATGAAAATACAACATTTTTGATAATAGACAATTATAATCAAAATGATTGTTAAATCATGATAATTTTTACCTTGTTTATTCGAATAATAGTAAAAATTAATTAACAATCACTTATATTCGTCATGGGTTGTTTAATATAACTCAAAAGGTAAGCATGTTTAATACTCGTGTGTGTGTCTGTGTGTAAAATTTCAATTAATATTTTATTTTAAATAAAAAAAAATTTTAAAGATAAAACGCTATAAAAACCGTTAAATTTAAACAATCAATAAAATAAAAAAAAAAGATGGTTGGTTATCTTACTAACAAGTTAATTGTTAAATATATTATATTTAACAAATAAAATTAACATTATATAATATATGTATATTTTTATAAGCCTTCAAAAAAATTTTTTAAAATGTATAACCACCACCATTTAAATATTTTTAATAACCAATAATAATAATAATAATTAGTGCAGTTATATAAATAATTAATTATTTGATGTTGAATAGTTTTAAAAGAAATTACAAAAGCAATTAATTAAATTGATAATATCATTGTTTATTGACTTTAATTTACTTTTAAATGTATTTTAAACTGAATTTGATAATAAATGTAAACATTTTGAGTTTTATTTTATTTTTTTTTAGTTAGATCCTACATGAAAATGGTCTTAAAAGCAGTGGTTAAAGCATTAAAGTGAGTTTTTTTTTTTTTGTTAAAAATAATAAATTATTATTATTTTAAATTTATATTTAAAAATTTTTATGTAATCATTTTGTTTTTTTTTTTTTATTATAGGAAAGCTGATAAATTAAAGGAAAAAATTATAATAAATAAAGATTTATTAACTGATAATGAAACATGGCTGACTCAACAACAATTACAAGTAAAATTTTAAAATATAACATTTTTTTTTTTTTTCCTCTTTGTAATCGATTAAATATTTAATTTTTTATTGTAGAGAATATATCAACAAGTTTTAATATTGGATTTAGAATATGCACTTGATAAAAAAATTGAACAAGAATTATGGAATCATGGTTTTAAAAATTTCATTGCAAATTTACAAAATTCAGCCAAAGATAAAAAGGTTATTTCCTTGCAATTTTATAATTTATATTAATTAAATTTATATATATTTTTTAATATACTTTTACTGTAATAATCAACAGAATCCTAAACATTCTGAAGCTCAAGCTATGCTTTGTTGGTGCCTTGAAGCAGCCAGTGGATTTTATTTAACACTTTTACACGAAATATGCGCAGCATATGATTTAGATCTACCGTTTAGAAGGTAATTTTTTTTTTTTATAAAAAAACAGTTTAATAATTGTATTTCTTATGATTTTTATCATTTTCTTAAAATTCAAGGAAAGGGAGCGTTTATGGTTGTAACAAAAATGTCAGTTCGATCGATGTCCACTGTCAACCGAATAAAAGTTCCTGTTATTACATATGTCAACATTGTCTCGTACATTTGGGTGATATTGCAAGATATAGAAATCAAAGTAGACAAGCAGAAGCATTTTACAGGTTCTGGCACATCTTGTTAAAAATTTTATGAAACTAAAACTTTTTTTTTGGAATTCTTAAATTCATTTAAATTTTTTAGGTATGCGGTACAATTGTCTCCCAGCAGCGGACAACCATATAATCAATTGGCCATTTTGGAAGCGAGTAGAGGTGATAAATTAAGTACTGTTTATCATTATGTGAGATCGGTTGCACTACGTCATCCGTTTCCTGTTGCCTCGACAAATTTAAGTCGTACCTTAAATAAGCATGCGGAAGAAGTGTAAGCATATTATTATTATTATTATTACCATAAAACTTCTTTGATATAAATATGATTTGGTATCACGTGTTATTTTCAGGATAAAGTTAGAAAGTCACACGAAACTTTCATGCACGGAATATGTGACGGCATTTTTAAAACTTCACGGTTTGTTGCATTCAAACACCGAATTGGAAACGGCTGAAAAATTGGTACAGGTTTTAACGACGTCTCTGACCGCTCACATCGCAACGGAATCGCTGACATCTTGGAAATTGGTTCAGGTACCGCGCGGAGGGCAAATACTCGGACTTTTGTATTGACCGTGAATATCCGTTTTATTGCATTCTTTTTAAATTTTATAGATAGTTACGATAAATATTTTTGCTCTTCACAACGCAAGAGGAACCGTTGATGGAAATATAAAAACGTTTGGGGAAAATGAATTAACGGACGACGAGCAGAAGATAGAAACGTTGATAACGGATTTTTTAGCCGCGTGTCTAACGGCATTTTTACTTCCGGTTTACACAATCAAATCCGGAGAATCTCTTATTGATTATTTCGCAATGCCAGCCAGTAAAAATGATTTTTTTTTATGAAAAAAATATTACGTCATTAAGTTAAATCACGTGACTTAAATTTTTTTTTTGTGTGCGTTTTCAGTTAAATTAACATTGGAGTGGATTCAACAAGAACCGGAAGTTTTAGAAAAATCATCATTCAAATCGAGGCTACAAATTTGGCCGAGCCTGTGTAAAATGTTAAACGACATACAACCGGCAATAAATAATTTTCCAGCGAAAAATTGTAATTAAAAAATTTTTCCAAAAAAAAAAAAAAAAAAAAAAAAAAACTTATCGTCGTCGAGTTTAAAATTTCGATTAAAAATATTTTTTTTTTAAATTTCAGATGCTCACGTACCCTTACCCGAAGATCGGGATTTACAGGGATTTTTACCATTTGAAAAAAGTTTTCAAAATTTAAAATTTCACACGGAAGATTTAAAAATAAATACGGAAGCTTTAAACAAATTGAGAGGTTCGAGATTAATTAATTTTGGACTTTGGCTTTCCGAACAAACGAGACTGAACATAATAACTTGCACAAAGTAAATTTTTGTAGTTTTTAGTTTTTAGTTTTTAGTTTTTTCGCCATTAAATAACGTGCGAAATATTTTTGACCGTTTTTCTTGTTTTTTGATATAGAAAACCAGAATCATCGGATGAAAAAAATTCATTTTTTTTCGAAGCTGTCGGAAGTTTGGAACCGCTGTCGGGAGAACAAATTAAAGAATTGGAAGAAATGATATTGACCAAACTTCCATCGCCGACATCATCGGAAACGAGCGGTTTGGTGACGGGAGCATCAACACCCGACAGCACCAGTTTTATATCGTCGGTTTTAATGAATCCCCTGGCAAAATTTAAATCGTCGGATTTTTCGAGTCAAGAAAATTTACTATGTAAATTGATTTGATTTGATTAGATTTTAACGAATGATTAAAAATTTTTCAATCAAAAATTAATCCGAGATTTATTTCACACAGCGGAAAAACGACCTGGAATATTAAAATGTCAAAAGGATTCGAGTGATAAAACCGGGGAAAAAGGATGTAAAAACGCGAGCATAACGACAAGAGGTCACCGTAATGTTGCACTACAAGCAATTATTAATAAAAACACGGAAGAAGTCAAACAGGTATAAAAATTTTTTTTATTACATTCCCTTTAATGAAAAGTAAGAACCTAAAAAAAAAATTAATTAATTAGGTAACGTTCAAAACGCCATCGCCGACAAAAGAAACGAGTTCAACTCATTTCAATAAAAAACAACAGGGAAATGTTAAAAACGAAGAACAGAAATCTAATTTGAAAACGGACGAAAATGTGAAAAAAGAAAAAAAAACAAATCAAATTTCGAATCGTGATTGGAATTCGTTTAAGGGTTCGTCAAAAGATGGCGGTTTCGTCGAATCCGCAACAAACAATAAAACCGAAACGAATTCGTTTCATCAGAAATCTGGGGATGTGGCCAATTCCAAAGGTGGTGGTAAAAAAGGGAATAAAGGAGAGGGAGAAAATAAAAAGAAAGACAAAAGTAAAGATAATCCGTTTCCGGAATTTATGACCGCGTTTCCGCCTTTGCCCAACGTCAAAGACGGAAGTAAAAATTCAAATAATCGACTTCCGGAAGGATTTAAGGTGAATTTGAAAAAAAAAAAAAAAAAAAAAAGAAAAATGAAAATTCATAAAAAATAATTTTCTTTTTTTTATTGCGTTTAGGAAAGCGAAAAATTAGATGAGAAAGTTTTCGAAGACAAAAATAATCAGAAAAATGTGAGTAAGCAACAATTGTTATCGGAATTGTTCAGTAAAAACAAAACTTCTTCCGATACTGAACAAAAACAACCGCAAAACATGTCGGGTTTATTGAATTTGAATAAACAGCAGCAAAAAATGCTCACGGATTCAAAAGTTGTTAAAACTAACGTCGTTCATCCTAATCCGCAATTATCAACGCAATATCAACAACAACAACAACAACAACAATCTCAACAACCTCAACAACCACAACAACAACAACAACAACAAATGCAGAAAAATTTTAATTCGTCACCGGAATTTTCAAATTTGCAAACCAACGCCGGAATGCAAAAATTAAAATGCGTCGATAAAATGGAAATTGCAAGAAAAGAATACGAGGTAGCCATGTTTGCTCTACAGCAAAAACAAAATCAAGATTCTCAGAGATTGTTTTCAGGTATTTATGAAAGTCAGTCAGTCAAAAACAAAATTAATTTCAAGATGGGGTTTAATTCAGGTATCTAATAAAAGTAAGACTTAAATATTAATAATAATAAAAATAATTTTTAGGTGGAACGGAAACAGACATGAATCGATTCGATTACGATTCAAGAATGAACATGCAACCCCCTCCGCCGCCATTACAACCTCAAATACAACAACAGACTCAACCTCAATTGTACGTCAGAGTCAATCAACCCATGATTAACGTTGGAAATTTTGGATTTAAATACCCGACGCAATTTTACCTTCCCTGGCAGGAACCACAAGAACCGCCTTTGCCACCATCTTGGTGGAGCGAAACCCCTCAAACTCATCAGCAATCCCAGCCAGTAAGTCTTTTCTTCATCACACACGCACACACACACACACACACATCCCCCCCCCTCGCCCAGACATCCCGAATCCTTTTTTTCTTTCTTTCTTTCTTTTACATCGTTTTGACTTTCAGATCGATTTGAACGATGTTACTCCTTATCAAGAAGGTTTTCCTTACAACGACAAACCCAGTTTCGAATTCGATTGGAGCTTTCAACCTTTTCCAAATAGTTTTCCCATTTATGTGCCACCTCCTGTTTTAGAAACCACTTACGAAGATTTTCATTCTTACCAGGTTCCTTATTAAATCACCCGAGGAAAAAAACTCTTTTTTTCAACTCGATTTGAAAAAAAAATGTTTGACATTTTTTTTTTTTTCATTCTAAGATTTCAGATAATTTTTCATCTGGCATGCAAGTAAATTCACGAGATTCATCTCTTTATGCAAATCATCCTCAGGGCAATTCAAACATGCAACCCATGGGTGGAGCCGGAAACAATTCGTATTCTTTGTTTAGCACATCATCTTGGGGTACCATTAGAACCGGTGAAAACGATCCAGAACAAAATTATGGATTGTCGGGAGGAATGATGGCTCAACAGGTGACATTTTCACTTATCATCATCATCATCATCATTCACATTCACATTCAAGTTAAAAAATTTTTAACTTTTTTTTTTTTTTCTTTTTTTTTTTGGTTCGGTTCAGTCTTTTTGGTCGGGACCAGGTCCGTCACCCCTCGAACGTTTATTGGAACAACAAAAACAAATGAGAAAAGAAGTGCCGGATCCGAAAAACGGAACTTGAATCAATAACACGAATCATTATACCGTGGATTCAAATTTTTAACGAAAAAAAAAAAAAAAAAAAAATTTTTTTTTTTTTATTTTAGACTATTCCGAAAAAAAAAAGTCTCTTTAAGAAATTTAAAAAAGTCTTTTAGACCGCAAAATTTCTAATTGTGAGAACAAGCAAGCAAAAAAAGCAAAAAAAAAAGAAATTTAATTTATTGTTAATTATTACTTACATCGCGAGATTTGATTCCTTTTTCTTTTTTCTTTTTTGGAACAGTTCGTTGAAGGATAGCAAGAACACAAACAAAAATATCTATAAGAATATAAATATTATTATTATTAATATAAAAGGAAATAAAGCAAAAAAGGAAAAAAGGAAAAAAAGGAATCTATGAACGATGAAAATAAATAGGGAAAAATGAAAAAGCCAAAGGAAAAAAAAAGTTTTTGTTTTTTTGTTTTTTTTTTCAATTAAATTAATTTTTTTGGCTTTCCATTAATAATAATAATAACGACTCCGAACGAATAATGATAATGATAATGATTATGATGATAATATTAATAAATAGTTTGCAAATAGCAAAAATGATTTAAATCAAAATAATAATAATAATAATAATAATAATAATGGAAAAATTGTTAACCATTTTTTTTTTTTTTTTCGTGTCATTCTTGTTTGACAAAAGTGAAAACAAATAATAATAATAATTTTAAATAAATAAATAAAACACCAAGAGGAGTAATTCATAACATTTCGGTGTTTGTTTTTTAATAATTTAATTATTATTATTATTATTATTATAACTTATAATTATTTTTATTTTTATCTTTCTCTATCTTTATCTTTATCTTTATCTTTAAGTTAATATTGGACAAATTGTTGTTAAAATGATTTCAAATTTTAAAAAAAAAGAAAAAAAAAAATTCAAGTTAAAAATGTTTTTGTTTAAAGTTGGTTTTTTTTCTTTTTAATTATTATTATTATTATTATTATTATTATTATTATTATTATTGTATTAAATAGAAGAAGAAGAAGAAGAAAATTTAAATTATAATAAATTTTTAGAAGTTAAATTATACTTTATAATGTTAATATTTAAAAATAAATAATAATAATAAGAAATTATTAACAAAAGGGGCAAAATTTGTTTGTTTGTCATACAACTATTATTATTAAAATATAATATCATTAATAATAATAATTAATAATAATAATAATAATAATAATAATAATAATAATAATAATAATAATAATAATAATAATAATAATAATAATAATAATAATAATAATAACAGAGAGCTTGAAATATTATTATAATTTTTCTTTTTTTTTTTTTTTTTTTAATTATTAATTATTTAAACTTGAGGAAGAAAAAAAAAATATTTTAATTAAATTAATTTTATTGTTTAAAATTTGTGGAATATTTGATTGATTTTAAAACTTTTTTTGTTTTTTCCTTCCCACCCCTCCCCCTCCCCTCCCCCTCCCCATAATCCCTAATGAAATAATTAATAAATAATAATAATGATAATGAACTTAATAATGATTCCACAATCCATATTCACATTTAATTCATTTATTACTTTTTCCAATTTTCTTAATATTTATTTATTCACTCTTTATTATTTCGATTTTAATAAATATTAGTAACGTTAATCCGATCCGATAGAATAAAACCGACATTAAAATTTTAAATTTTTTATTTAACCGTTAATTAGAATTCGCGCCATTAAAATTTTTTTTTTTTTATGGAAACTCTTAATTCTATACGAGAGAAATTTTACTTCACACGGTGTTTAAAAGTTTAAAATAAATTATTATTTATAATTATTTAACTTACCTTAATCCTGAATAATAATAATAATAAAACAATAATCCATTTCACATTATAAAAACTTTAAAAAAAAAAAAAAAGAAACAACTAGTAAACTAAGAATAAAAACCGACCGTTGACATTTACTTCATGTCGTTGACTAACGGTTTTTATTATTCACATCAGTGTTGCCAACCTTGGAAAAATTAATCGTTTTCTATTGGTTCGAATATTCGCTTTGTTGACATTAATGTTTATCCCTTTCTTAATGATATAAAACAATTAATTTTAATTTTAAATTGCATATTTTTTGTTTTTAATAAAAAAAAACTAATTAAATTAGTATAATTATCTATCCCTATATATATATAATATCTATTATAATATATATAAATCCCAAAAAAACTAAAAAATTTGTATTTAAAAAAAAATTATTTTAATGAGTTTATTCATGAGTGGGTTTTCTTACCCTTTTTAAAATTTTCCAACATAATTTTTATTGTTTGGCAAAGGGTTAAATAGCTCTTGTTTTTATTTAAGCATAAATAAATTAATTAACAATATTTATAGAAGGTACAAAAAAAAATAAAAACAATAAAAATAAAAAGAGAAAATGTTTTTTTTTTTTTAAATACATTTGAACAAGATCTGGCAATCTTCCCAAAATGTGTTTTTCATTAAATTATTTAAATTTTTGTATAACAAAATTAACAAAAAAAAACATTTAAGTATATATATAAACTCTTTTCTAAAAACAAAAGGTTTAACTAAAATTATAATAATAATAATAAAATTGTTAATAATATTTAAATTTTGTTGATGGTTAGTTTAACTGTTTAACAAAATTATAAATAAAAAAAAAATTTAATGAAGAGGATGGTTTTTTTTTTTAATAATTTAAATTTAAAGAAAGAATTGCCATAATAATAATAATAATTATTATTATTTTGTACTTTTAAATTTTATCTAAACCCCCCCCCCCCAAAAAAAGGAGAAAAAAAGGTAAGGAGGAATTTATGTCTATAATTTTAAATCAAAATAATTTGGTTTTAATAATTTTTCCAAAAAATTAAAGTTTTATTGCTTAAATATAAAAAGCAGAAGAATTTATTCATTTTCAATAAGATTCATTATTATTATTATTATTATAAAACCAAATTATTTCAATTTTGATGAATTAATACAAAAGAAAAGAAAAGTAAATAATAATTTAAACATACAAGGATATATAAAAAATTGAAACCGGATAAGCATAATTTTATTATTTAAGGGCTTTTTTTTTTTTTTTTTTTTTTTTTTTGTATTCACAATAAATCAAATTCTTTTTTTAAAAAAAAAAAAAAAATAGTAAAAAAAAAAATGGCGTAGAAATTCATTTTTCATATGAATTTATTTACATCTGAGACATAATAATAATAATCAGATATTAAACAACAATTTATTGTTGATTAATTAACAATTTTTTTTTTTTTTCCATTTACTTTTTCTTTCTTTTTTTTTAATTAACATTTCTTGTACCTAATTAAAGCAGGAAATGGCTTATATATAATAATAATAATAAATTTTCAATTATTTCCGTATCGAAAAACAAGAAAAAAAAAAAAAGGAAAAACCAAAAATTTTTTTTTTTTTTTATTAGAAATATTTATTTAAAATTCTACTTTATCTATTCAAATGTACGCGAAAACGATCACACATAATAATAATAATAATAACACTCACACATTGTAATAATAATAATAATAAAAATATTTATAATAAACGACAAAGTAGATTTTTAAATAAAAAAAAAAAAAAAGAAAAAGTATTTAATAATAATAATAATAATAATTTACACTTTGTGTAAGGCATTTTATTATTTTAAAATTAATAATAATAATTTGTTTCCGTTTTATTTTATTATTTATTTATTATTATTTATTTCAAAACACTATTGAACGTTTAATTATTAAAAAATATATTATCTAAAATAAACAATTTATTTATTTTTTTTAATTCATCTGTTTTATTTTTGTTTGTTTGTGTGTGTTTTTTTCCCCCGGTTAAATAAAAACAAAAAAACAAAACAAAACGTTAATAATAATAATTAATTATAAATAATACAAAAAAAAAATGTCGATTGATAATAATAAAATAAAATTTTCTGTTTTTGTTTTCGTTTGTTTATGTTTCACCGTTAAAAATCGAACGACGAAAAATTTTTCAAATTACCAACGGAAAAAATTCTAGTGACACGCTTTGAAGTAAATCAAAACAAAACAAAAAATTGATTATTGATTATTTTTTTTTTTTTCAAATTTTATCACATTAATGGAGGAAATCATTATATAATAATAATTAATAATAAAAATCGTTTTTTTTTAAATATTTACAAAAAAAAAACCGCCATTAATTAATTATTCTCGTATAAAATTCGTTTTGTGAAAACAACATGTCGGATTTTTGTTTTGTTTTGTTTTTGTTTTTGACCGTTAAATTAACGGTCACTATTATTTATTATTAAAACAAATATATTGTTTATCAAATTAAAAATAGAGCACTTTAACTTTTTTTATTTAATTTTAAAAGAAAACTTATTATTATTATCATCATCATCATCAATTATTTATTTATTTATTTAAATTATTATTATTATTATCATTTTTTTTCACCACTTTTTTTTTTTTTTAAATTTTTATTATAATTTTTTTTTTAATTTTATTTTTATTTTTATAATATATATAAAAAATAAGATATACTATATATATATATATATATTTATATATCGGATCCAGAGCATTTATTCGTATACATTTTTCAATTTAATTAATTTAAATGATTTTAATAATAATAATAATAATAATAGTATTAATTTCAATAATAAAATTAATATTAATAATAAAACGCCATTTATTTAATTTTTTTCCAATCAATCAATCAATCATTATCATTATTTTATTTTTTGTTCAATTGTTCATAAGATTATTATTAATATAATAATATTTACAAATAAAAGTACAAAATATTTTTTTTTTGTTTATTTATTTATTTATTAATTACCGTAATAGTATACTTGTTGTTTTTTTTTTTTTTTTTTATTATTATTATAAATTTTATTTATACATTTAATATTGTATACCTTTGATTGCTTGCCATGAAAATTGCTTTTGTCAAACACATTTTTCCATTTTTTTATTTATTTATTTATTTATGTAATTTA